ACTTAACAAATGATGTTCAAGTTAGGGTCACCCCCTCAGTTAGGGCTTGCTAAGTACAGTTCTGCTTCCCTTTACTCGTAAACTAAGGATAAAAACATTTCATTGCCCTTCCATTCAACACTAAAGTTAATTTTAACCCCAAACAGCCAAAATTGCTCAGTTTGGCAATACAGATCTGTGGCCTGAGCCCCTAGGCAAAGTTGTGTGTCTATGCAAATACAGTCTGCTCCTGAAGTCTTTTGAAACAGACTGTCACTAGGACAGAGGAGAGTTCATTCAGAGCCTGCTTACAGCTGGTTTGGGTGAAAACTCATGTTAGTGTACAATGCTGGGGTAATGAAATCTTGTTATCCTTATTACATAAATAAACAGCAGCAGAACTGTTCTTAGCATGCCCTATTTGAATGGGTAACAGTAACCTCACTCACTAAGGAGGGGGGAGTGATGCCAAACCTATGAAAAAGTCAGGAGGACCTTGGACAGTTGTTTCTGTTGGGTAGTATGGACTCTGTATAAACAGTGCTCGTTACTAATGGATCCTTTTTTCTCCCCAGTGTTTAAAGACAGAGTTGAAAAGATTCAATTCAATGATTTATTCTCCGTGATCACTAGAGATGAAAGAAGAACAGGAGTACTTGTGGCACCTTAGAGACTAACAAATTTATTAGAGCAAATTTGTTAGTCTCTAAGGTGCCACAAGTACTCCTGTTCTTCTTTTTATAAGAGTCAGGCTGGAGGGCAACAAGCCTCGGCTGTAACATGCATCACCTGGCCAAAGCCCTTAGCGCACCTGATCCTGTCTGGCCCCACCTACAGCGAGGCTATGGCATACGCTCCCAGCTAGACAATGCCACCACCGGGGCCCAGCATTAGGCTCCTCCATGCTCATCCTGCCCTTCCACTCTGACTCGCCTCCCTTTGCTGGTTCCAGCCTGAAGAAGTTTGATCAGCAGCAGCTGAGGAGCATGGGTGCACAAGGGCACACAGGACTGGATCCTCCCAATCCCACCCTGGTATGCCTTCCATCAAATAGAAGCCACACCCAGTGCCTCCTAGCGAGCCCAGAATAACCTGCAGGAACTTAACCAGTTGGCCAGTGACATCCACCCCACTCTCTTAAGATGAGATGCAAGCCTAGGTTTGATTTTACAAGGCAGGTTTCAAATGGACAGAAAAATTGTAGGCAAAACACCAGAAAGGGCATGATGGAAACATGGCTGCCCCGCTTTCTGCAACTGTAAAACCAGTGCCTGCCTCTGCTGCTTCTCCCCCAGAGTTACCAGTTCCTGGGCTGCCCTGATTCCCCAGAACTCAGAGCATGGCTTCCCATCGCCCTGTCTGTATTGAAGCCAACTCGGTGCCGGGAGCGTTTGTGAGAGGGTAATTAGGCATGGCAAAGTCCAAACTTAACAGTTGGCATGTGCCAAACAACAACTGATTAGAAATCAAGAGGACTCCAATTGAAAGTCATTTTGGCAACTGCAGAATATAATTGGTTATAAACTGAAATACAACAATTTTCACGCTTTGGGAGAAGGTAACTCCTGCTGAGCTGCCATCAGTGGATGGCTGCAGAATAGTGATCTACAAAGGGGATGGGATTAAGTCTGTGTCCCCATCCCCCCAACACACACACTTTCTGATGGGGAGGGGAAGGCTGGAGTTTTTTTTTAAGATATTTGTCCCCGCTTGATTTTTGAATTTGGAGATTCAGGTCTTCTCTGGGCTTGGAGACCTCTGTGGTGACTGAAGAACCAGTGAGGATGACAACATCGCAGAAGTGAAAGCTGAACACCTGGCAGGGGGAAGGGTTTATTCAGACTGTTACACTCCTGTGTTTGCTTTTGCTGTTTTGTGTTTTGCAATTTTGTAATTGTAAACTAGGAATCATCAAGCAGGTGTTTCCAGTGGGATCCCGCAGGGACCGGTTCTCTGCCCTATGCTATTTAACATTTGTTTCAATAACCTTGAAGAAAACATCAAATCATCACTGATAAAGTTTGCAGATGATACAAAAATCGGGGGAGTGGTAAGTAATGAAGATGACAGGTCACTGACACAGCAATCTGGATACTTGGTAAATCAGGCGGAAGCAAACAATATGCATTTTAACATGGCTAAATGTAAACGTATACATCTAAGAACAATGAATGTCAGTCATATATGCACAACGGGGGACTCTTTTCCTGGGAAGCATTGACTGTGAAAAAAATTGGAGGATCATGGTGGATAATCAGCTGAATCTCTGGATGCATAAACCGCAATCTCGAGTAGAAGCAGAGGGGTTATTTTACTTCTGTACTTGGCACTGCTGGAATCCTGTGTCCAGTTCTGAAGTCCAGAATTCAAGAAGGATATTGATAAATTGGGGAGGGTTTAGAAAGCCATGAGAACGATTAAAGGATTAGAAAACAGACCTTACAGTGATAGACTCAAGGTGGTCAATCTACTTAGCTTAACAAAAAGCTGGTTAAGGGGTGATTTGATCAAAGTCTGTAAGTATCTACATGGGGAACAAATATTTAATAACGAGCTCTTCAGTCTAGCAGAGAAAAGTATAACACAATCCAGTGGATGGAAGTTGAAGCTAGAAAAATTCAGACTGAAAATAAAGTGTAAATTTTTAACTGTGAGAGTAATTAACCATTGGAACAATTTACCAAGGGTCAGAGTGGATTCTCCCCCGTGGCCAATTTTCTAAAAGCTCTGCTCTATTCATTATTTTGAGGCATTTCTCTCCTGTGTTATCCAAGGGGTCAGACAAGATGATTGCAGTGGTCCCTTCTGGTCTTGGAATTTATGAATCTAATGTCAGTGACTAACCTTTTGGATAAAGGATGTCTTTGCCAAAGACTCCACCCCTTCCCTTTTAACTAGGGCTTTTAGTGCTCCCTTCATAGATATCCTGAGACCCGCGGACAGACATCCCCCACCAAAACCAGGACAAGCAAACTGGACGCTGCTAATATTTCTAAAAGCAAAAAACCCTTCCAGCCCCTGCCAGGCCCCTGATCCAGCACAGACACGGTGCCTACACCCCATCTTGTACAAATGCTTTTCAGGGCACTTTAAGCACACTCTCCTCTGTCCATGGTCACCACTTGCACCAGGCCCTGACCTTACCACTGGGGCCTCCAGATCAGCCCATGCTTCTGTTCAGTCACTACCCACCTGGCCCACTTGGGGAGGGAATTACCAGTGAAAGACTAAAGCTGGTAGCCACCAAAAGGCAGCGCTGTTAGCTGGCTCCATGACATTGGAAGGGAAGGAGGATTATCTCTCTGCCTCCTCTGGGAGAGGCGCCCATGCACCACTGCTTCTCTGGGTCTGCACCTTCACTGACAGTTATAGGGCACTTCCCCCACACTGCTCTGCCACCAGCACTGGCTAGAGTGGTTATAGCTTCATGCGTCTTAACCCCATGACAACCCAGTGGTAAATGCATCCGCAGGTAGTGCACACAAGGGCCTAGAGCTGTCGGGGGAGTTATAACCTCACTGTTACTCTCTGAGGCCAAACCCTCACTAGGCACTGGACACCAAAGCACCCAGAGCTGAAGCACTGTGTGGGAGGAACCTTGTGCTGCTATTGCTGGTCCTGGAGCCATTTTGGAGACAGCGGAATTCATGTTTCAGGACAGTCCATGCTGGCTCCACAGCATCAACAGGAAGGGGAGGAAAACCCCTCCTGCAGACAGTAGAGTCAACAGCTCCAACTGCTCCATAGAGGAGGCAGAGCCCCTGAATAGGAAGGAGCCATTTTTACAGTCACTTGGCAGAGCAGAACAGAGCCTCCAAGTGTAAATGCAACTACTGGAGCACATTGGGTTTTAGCAGCACTCTCCAGCAGCCTGCACCTGGGGCACTAGCACAAAGCGAGCATGGTCTGGGTTTGAAATGCCACCACCCTGAGCCGAGAGCATTTCACATCTGTGTAAATGACCATGGGGTGCAGGCCCAGTGTCAGGCTTCTCAACTGCATACCCAAAGGGTAGCCAGTCACTATGGGCTCCATAACATGAGATCAGAGGACCCCGACTCCCATGTCACACCACACACCTCTGCGCTGCTTCCCTGAAGAGAACACGACATTCTCCATCCACTCAGGGTAAATTCTCCATGTGTCTCTGTTCAGATTTCGGATGTTTCATTAGAGTCTATCGAAAAGCCAAAGTGGCAGCTCATTTGAAAATCTGTAATAACTACTCAGCTGCCAGCGTGCGGTGTGAAAGAGCAAAGTCCGCTTTACTGGGGAGGGTGGGTCTGTTACAAACACACGGGCCGGAGTGACAGTGCACAGTGAGGGGGAGACCGTGGCATTGGCAGTCATCCAAAAGGTTCAAAGAACAGATTTATTTTCAGAAGGAAAAAAAAAAATACAGATTTGATTGACGCCTCCAAAAATATACGGGTGCTTATCCTTGATCTGCTGGAAGAGTTGTGAGCTGCTGCACAGAGTGCTTTGAACTCAATATGCCCAGCCCCCAAGCACTGGGCCCGCTACAGGCTGCCCCTCTCCCCACTGTAAAGCCCACAGGATGCTGACTGCAGCAGAAAGCCAGATTCCAGCAGTTAGGCATTTTACCCAGGACAGCACCAAATTCCATATTCCCCTTACTGGCGTCGGCGGCTCAGTCTGTGCTTGCCCTAGAACCAGCGCCAGCATCAATGGGGACAGTTGTCTTTCACATGAGCCTACACACAGACGCTAGGCTAGAGGCACTCGCCTCTCCTCCCCCAACCCCGCTCAGGCCCAGTGAGGGGGCACACAGTGCCAGTATTGTCTCAAGCTTCAGGGCAGAGCAGAAAGCAAGTGAACCAGAGTTAATTTGAAAGAACAGCAATGAATTAAGGAAGGCAGCTCCTCTGAGCATGCTCTAGGTGGATAAGAATCAACTGCTAATCAGCTGTCAGTTACCAGCTGCTTGTGGCTACCTAGAGTCTTGAACATCCTGGACTGGGACTCCTGCCCGTGGCATTCTGGAAGGGTGTTCTGGGATCTCGCTGGGCTAGGATAGCTGGAGACAGCACATCACTCAGGGCTAGTAATAAGCAAACTCTGATCAGTCACATGCTTTACAAAGAGCGGAAAGCACCATCTTGCCCCAACAATTTAGTTATCTAGGAGTCTCTAGTCCCTCCTGCCCTCCCCCCCCCCCACCACACACACACACACACACACAGAGCTCTGTCTGGACCAGATCACCAGATGAATCAAATCCTTGTAGGAGAAGGGAGGTGCCTTCACATGGCTGCGAGTCCAGCGGAGGAAAGTAGGGTCAAGACCAGGACCAGGACTCCAGACTGGTAGACTTGGGGAATCTTAAATCCTTTTCCCATGTCCCACATCTAGAGACAAAGAGAACAGAGACACACTCAGCAAGGAATCAGGGCGTCCCACTGGAGCACTCGCACAGTCTGCAACTGAACCCCAGGCACGCCAGGCCTCCAGGGCCATCAGTGCTTTGCAGAAAATAGGCAAAGAACAAGCCAGAGAAGGGAACAGCCCCTCTGGCTATGGAGCTGTTGAGATCCCTCTTGGAGTAGTGTGTTCTGAGTACCTGACTGCAAATGGGAGGGAGTGCCGAGAACTGCCCAAGTGAGGAAGGGGCCGGGGGACCTATCACAAGTTCTCTAGGGTGAGGGGTGCAGGCTGCGTGCAGGGGCAGTGTGAGCCCCAGCACTTAGATTGGACAGAGCACTAGAGATGCTGATGCCAGGGATCATCCTGGGAATGGCCTAGGTGACCCAATAGAAATGAACAATCTTTGATAATGCCCTGTGGAATTAGCTACCCGTGACTCCCGTTCATCACACAAACATCATCACAATCCCAGCGAAGCTGGTTCCATCTGGTTTGACTGACTATCAGTAAGGCTGCGAGTTTGTCACAGAGGTCACGGATTCCGTGTCTTTCCGTGACCTTTGTGACTTCTGCAGCGGCCAGTTCGCCTGGCTCAGGGGCAGCTCAGGCAGCCCCTGTGCCAGTCACACCAGCTGCTGCTGGGGCAGTCTCGGGCCACCGCCCCCCTGCAGCAGCAGAAGAGTTTGGGTGTGGGACAGGGCAGGGGGTTGAGGTACGGGACAGGTTCTGGTGGCACTTACCTGGGGAGCTCCCCAGAAGCAGCGACATCCCCCTTGCTCAGCTGCTAGGCGGAGGTGTGGCCAGGCAGCTCTGCACGCAGCCTCCACCCAGAGCACTGGTGTCGCCGTTCCCATTGGCTGGGAACCATGGCCAATGGGAGCTGCGGGGGCGGCAGAGGCAGCACACAGGCTGCCTGGCCACGCCTCCGCTTAGCAGCTGAGCTTGGGGGAGGCGGGGGGCACAGAACCAGGTAGGGAGCCTGCCAGCCCCACCAATTCTCTTCCCCCCCCCCCCACCCAGCAGGTGTCCTGGGCCACGCAGTGCCACCCGCACTCCCCCAGCACCTGCGGCAGCCCCCTCCCCATCCAAGTTTTAGTCACGAGTATTTTTAGTAAAAGTCATGGACAGGTCACAGGCTGTGAATTTTTGTTTACTGCCCATGACCTGTCCGTGACTTTAAAATACCCCTGACTAAAACTTAGCCTTAGCCATCAGTAATGCACTGAGGTGGCAGGCAGCAACAGACAAGGCAGACAGTCTTGTCTGTTCCCAGTTCTGCCACTGACTACCTGTATGACTTTGTGCCAGTTACTTAGGCCTAAACTTTCTAAGCATCCACTGGTGCTGGGTGAGCAACCTGAGACAATGTCCTGGTTTTCAAAAGGGTGAGGCAGCCTCTACTCTAAACAAATATCTAATGGAGACACCACTGGAAAATCAGGCCCCAGATGTCTCAGAGTGGGCACCCATAGTAAGTCCACACTCCAGATAACACTGGATGTAACAGTCGCTCTGTGCCTCAGCTCTCCCTCTGTACATGGGAACTTACAGATCCCACTCAGTATTATGCCAAGGAGCTCCACAGGAGAGCCAAACATCAGTCACAGGAGGCATCTCCCCTTCTCCAGTGGGGAATCTTACCAGTGCTCCTAACCCAGCCACTCATGCAGTCAGCCCCGTCCCCTCAAAGACAGGGAATGCAGCATTCAGGAGTCATTTTCCTCACTGTCTGAATTTCTCTCTGTGTCTCTGTATATGGAGTGTGAGTCAATCACCACGGTGTCAGACATGGACCTAGTTGGTCATTCAGTCTGCTGCTAGCCCTGGCCAACGTAGGACTGCTCCGTGTCACATACAGGTGCTATCAGGTGATCAGAAGATTTACCAGTGCACTAAAAGTCTAAGTTAAGGGAGGAAAGAGCTGGGAATTTCAGCCTAAGCTGGCAGTGTCTTTGGTTTACGTGGCTAGTGATGTGATAATAGGTCTGATTTTGGAGACCTAACTAAATTTAGACACAACAGTAACCAGCTCTCCAGCAGTGGAGCGACTGGAGTGCATGCACACGCACACACACACCACCATCACCACAGCACTGCAGTTTATTCAAGGAAATGAAACACCTAACAATGTAAGCATTAACCGTTCCCTGCCCCACATTTCTGCGATGTAGCCATCCGCCTGGCCAGCTGTCAGCACTGCTGGTTATTTTAACATAGATTTGGAGGCAGTTTCATTGCCTTTTTAATGTAAATACGCAGTTACAGTCTTTCAACCCGCATTTGACTCACAAGACCCTAATGAGAGGGCTGTTAAGACTTTTTCTATTTGCTTGACAGCAACTCCGTGAGCAAATGGGGCTCAGCCAGCAGGATCAATGCTGGAGCCCTGGGCCAGGCCTCATGTTTGCAGATCTGCTCTGGAATTCTTGGCGGGCTGCAAAATGAACAATGTTTGCAGCAGTGCCAGCCATACCAGGGTCAACCAGTCTCCCCAGCTGAGGGATTTACAAAGCCCCCTCACCTCACTCCTCAGGGTGCCACTGATCCCTACAGGGACAGCTCTGCCAGGTGCATGATGGGTTTCTTTCATCATAAGCAGCTGGTAATACCAGAAGCAAGATACAAACTCCGGGGATCAATACTTTATTAGAGAAGCAATGCTCATGCCACCGAGACGAGAACACAGTGGGCACCCAACGTGTGCAGCACAAATCCATGTCTGAAGTGCAGCACCCCTGAGCCACACTTGCCCTAAAGCAGACGGGATCAGGTCACACACTGAGCCAGCTGCCTCTGCAATTTAGATTTTGTAAAACTAAATGTATTTGAAGTTACAGAAACATAAGACAATTGTTATCTGCAGCAAAAGCAGCACATCTTGTTCCCACATTGGGGAGCCAATATTCTCTTCAGCTGTTTTTTAAATCCGCAAAGTTCTCCTACACTGAGATGCTGTCTCCCAAGTTTCAGCCCAGGGCAAATATTAAGGGCTGGTTTCTATAAAGGGACTATAGTAGATCACAGACAGATGTAATATAATATTAATATGTAACATAACATGGCTATTGTGAGCGGATATTAACACTGAAAAACAGTCATTTTGGAAGGTCTCACATCGTCACAGGACAATGACATTACAAGCTGGGGATATTAAACAAGAGGTTACACTTTCAGAAGTGCCAAAGTGACAAGTCACGTTGGAAAATGGGACTTAGGAACTTCTGAAAGTATTACCCCAGATGCCCACCCAACTCCCTGCACCTTAGACAGACACATACATGCAGCTCCATCAAGGCTACTCACAAGGTGTCGGATTCCGTTCCAGGTGTGGTAGGTGAGGGGGAAAGCCAAAGCAAACTTAGCAGAGTAGATAAGAGCAGGCCCCAGACTGAGCGACTTCACAAATGCCAGGTAATAGGGGAACTGTTCCGGGAGAATCAAGGCAGCCAGACCAAAGAGAGACACCCCTGGAAAAGAAAGAACCCACAAGTCAAACCAGCTGCCAATGGTAGCCAGCAGCTTACTCACCAGGAAAGAGAGAGCCCTGCAAGATAATCAGCACTCCCCAGCTGGGAACCAGGGGCTCCTACTCCCGGGGCCTGAAAAGCCAATGCAAACAAAATGAGCCAACTTCTTCTCCCACTCTCCTGGTTCCTCTGTATCAGTATAGCACAGCTCCCACAGGGAGCGGCCTTCAATTCTGCATGTCATAATGAGGAGCTAGAAGGAGAGTTACTTTTAGGTGATTAGTGCAGGAGAGGTCACTTTTTGCTCTGACACACTTATGCCTTTAAGAACAATTCCAGTCACAGTCTCAGCTTGGCTAAATAAACAAATAGCAACAGACTAGAAGGTGTGAGGTCACTATTACCACAGTGTTACCCCCTGAAGTCAATAAGGCTATTAAGTACCTTACTGTTGGCCCCAGTCCAGCCAACACTGAAGTATGGGATTAACTAGACTCATGCGAGTAGCCCCGAGTGACTATTCCTGAGAGTACAGTGACACACGCTCAAGCATTTGCAGAATCAGGGCCTTAGTGCATAAGCCAAACTACCTGGGAATGCAAGTTTCAGAGGATCCCCTCAATGTCTGAAAGGTAAGAGAGGAGCTCCACCAGAAAGACCTCGAGAGTCCAGAATAGCAGGACAAAAATATCCACTCGCCAATCACTAACCAAACAGACAGTTTGGCAGGAGCCAAGCCCAGCAGCCCAATGGCACGTGAAGAGGCTGGCACACAAAGAGACGGCTTGACATAAGTGAGCACGCTAGCTGGAGAAGTGGTGGCAGCTTCTCTGTCATTTCTAGGCCAAGAGGCTTTTTACAGATGGTGCTGCCAAAAGAATGGGAGTGATCAAAGAAAGAAGAGCTAGCCAAGCCGTGATTAACCCTGCGTTCAGTGGAGCCCGATTGCTCTCCTCTGGTACGCGGGCTTAAGCAGCTCTATCTGCAGTGGTGCCAGCGCCTCCACGCCAACTAGCTGCTTCCCAGCTCAGCCACTCGTGGTTTCAATGGCCTCTGTGTTTGCCTTGAGAAAGTGCAGGAATCAAGTGCTCATGTAATTGCTGGCCTGGCCGGTGAAAGCAGAGCTCCCTGCTCTGTTCCATTTTGTTGGCTGCACAGCTGTCTGGTGAGACAGTGCAGCCAGTGTGGGGTTACCCTTTGGATTCTAAAGGCCTGGGGAGGAGGCCTCTTGCTGTTCCCATGGCAGAGGTCAACAAAGGGCTCATTTTGTAAGTGAGTAATAAATCCTCTTTTACAGGCAATGGCAACTTTGTGAGCTTGAAAACAACTAGCGGGTTCGAAAGCACACTAGCTACTGGCCAAGCGCCCCGCACAGAAGGGCAGGCATTTCCCAGCCCTCTGGGGAAGGAGTAGCTTTGGGCTGAGGAGAATGACCAACAGGACCACAAGGCTTGGACCATGTTGACAAACTACCTCTCTGCCTGGCACAATGGGTGTCACTCCTCCTGGTATGGTATTACGGAGAAGGGCACATGGGCTAACTCAAAGGGCATTAGGAAATAAACCCGCTGGGCTCACAAGATCCAGCAAGGAGATAAATTGCGCTGACGTAACAGAGTGATCTGCAGCAAGCACTCACGTCGGGTTAAACACTGCTGGGCTCATTGGAGCTCATTTCTGTAACCGAATTCAGACTCTGCGGCTCATGCTGCTGACATTTGGCACCTGGCTGGACTTTCAGCTTTTTGTGACAATGCCTAGCTGCACAGATTAGCAATTCTGGGGTTTAACTCAGTGAAAGCCAAGAGGGAGGCAGGGATCACGTGGTCAGTTCAAGCCTTGAGGCCCAACCTACACTAGACCCCCTTCAACAAGCACCTCTGTGTAATGAGTCCATCTGGAAACAGCACCAAGGTTTCTAGTGCCATTTTTATCCAATCTTTAGTTAAATTCCCCCACTGGCAGAAACAGAAGTTTTCTGGTCCTGAGACACAAGCTTTGCTGTGGATTTCATTTCAGATTCCACCCATCTTGTGGAAAGCAAGTAAGTGTGTGTGGGGTTTTTTTT